TTTAGGGACTTCTATGTACAACATGATGTAGATCTTGAAAACCATCTTGATGGAAGAGGTGTAGAGATTCAAAGTTTGGTTGATGATGCTGAAACACCTTTGTATCCTGGTTGCACGGCATTTACAAAGATGTCAGCTTCAATTACTATGTTTAAACATAAAGCTACACATGGTTTATCGGATAGTAGTTTTGATGAACTTATAAATCTTGTTCGAGACATACTGCCAAAGAATAATACACTTCCCAACTCATTTTACGAGATGAAAAAACTTTTCAATACATTTGACCTTGGTTATGAGAAGATATGTGCTTGCTTGAATGATTGGTGTCTTCCCTATATATTAAAATATGCAAAGTAAAGGTCACACGTGTCGCCATTTTCCATCATCGTCAAAATTTTCCATACTGCCATTCCTCCTTCTCCATTATCTCAAGCAACCACCCACTCCTCCTCTATTTTCCCACGCAACCTCCTATTGCAAACTTCTCATTCTTTTTCATTTGCTCAAACAATAGATTTTTTCCTCATAGAAGAATTTGGCAACTTTGTGCAGTTGGAATATACCTCAGATTGGTATTATATTTTCTCCCTTTCTTTGTGTATTAATAGCCATTCATTTATATTAATTCTTCTTCGAATCCTATGGAGTTTTAACCTGGCTCAGCCTCTTCGTCTTATTCGCATTTTCGTCCTTTTTTGCCTCCAATTTGCTATAGAAGCAGTAGTTTTTGTTGTCATATTCTGGTTTCTTCTTCTGGGTTTTGTTTTTGACTGAATTTGTAGGCTTTTTCACTTTCTCTGAAGGAGAGATCTTGTAGGAGTTGTTTTCTGATTTCATGGCAGTTGGAATACAGGTTTGGATTATAGCCATTCATTTATATTGATTGTTCTTCCAATCCTTTGTTTTAACAGAGCATTTTTTCTTGCTGGTTTCAACTGAATTTGTAGGTGAGGTGCCTTCGCATGGAGGCACATCCCGTGTTCCTTCGTGCGCGCATGGAGACGCGCCCATGTGCCTCCGTGATTCAATGGGATAGATTCAATAAAAGTTGATACCAGTAAAAGGCCATCATTGAAATTTCATCCTTGCATGATCCGATACAGTGCACTGAGGGCATCTCTAGAGTATGCCGAATCAATATAGTATCTTTTTTTGACACACATTCGAATCTATTTGGCACTAGAATGCCTTTATTAGGATGTAACTTTATAAAATAGTAGTATGCTAAGCAAATGAAAGCGAAATACTCTCATACAAATTTGCCCTACTTTGTTTGATGGCTTGGGTTTATAATCCATGTGCATTGCGGTCCTCAGTTCCAATGTTTTAACTAGAACTGATTATCTCATGTTTTGAAGAAGTTAGCCCGGGTTTCTCAAGTAAATTTCTGCAAGCTGAAGATATCTGCAATGAGCAAAGAATGGAGTTTCTGGACGTTGGTATTAATTCTCCGTAATATGATTTTTTGAAGGTTGCGTCAGTCAGCTTAGGGGTTGGTTCTCTTGTATGGGTGGAGGATCAGATGAAGCATGGATAGATGGGGAGGTTGTTGCTACAAATGGTTGAAGATATTAAGGTCCAATGTGCATCAAGAAAAAAGGTGTGTAATTTTTACATCCTTTTAAGTTATTTTTATTGGATTAAGTACTTCTTGCTTAAATTGGAGGGCTTACAAATTTACTAAATTTAGCCTCCTTTTATATTTTTGTCATCATTTTTCTACAGATTGTTGCTAAGTCTTCTAATGTCTATCCCAAAGATGCAAAAGCCCCACCTTGTGGAGTGGATGACATGACAAAGTTGGCATATCTGCATGAGCCTGGAGTCTTCATAATTTAAAAACCAGATATGATATAAATGAGATATATGTGAGTTTTTTAGTATTGCATTCTTCATCTGGAAAAAGTTCCTTCTTCTCCTGATTACTGCCTTCATCGATAAAACTCTGAAAAATTATTGGAACTTTTCTATTTGTGCATTTTCCAGACTTACATTGGAAATATATTAATTGCTGCGAACCCTTTCCAAAAATTGCCCCATCTGTACGATAGCCATATGATGGCGCAATACAAAGGAGCAGCATTTGGCGAGTTGAGTCTGCATCCTTTTGCTATTGCAGATGCTGCTTATATGTAAGTTTCATTTTATATCAATTGCTTGAGTTTGCATACTTTGTATTTCTATTGAATAGATCATTTCTTTGTATAGACTAATGATGAATGAAAGAATAAGTCAGGAAATTTTGGTTAGCGGTGAAAGTGGGGCTGGTAAAACCGAAAGCACGAAATTGATTATGCATAATCTTGCATACAGGGGGGGAATTGTGGAACAACAATTTCTTCAGGTATACTTAACTGAATAAGCATAGATGAGAAGTACTGCTCATGATGGCGGCAAAGAGACATGGTGCAGTGTCTCCGTGCGGAGACACGACCGTGTCTCCGCACGGAGACAGCACTAAGGCACACAGAGGCACTTCAGTGCGCGCAAGGAGGCACATCCGTGTGCCTTCGTGCGCGTAAGGAGGTGCCTCTGTGTGCCCAAGGAGGTACCTCCATGTAAATTTTTTCTTTTTAAATACAAATAACAATGTTTCTTAAGGCAATCAACAATTACTTTTTTTTACATTGCTACCAATAACAATGTTTTTTTTACTCAATAGAGACACAAGCTGATCTTGCTTCACCCACATATCTGTGGTAGCGCAGGTCGAAGCCAATCTAAGATGATTATATAGGTAAAGATAAGAAAAAGATCTTTGAAGGCGATTTAACTAAAGTCATTAGGGACCAATATATTCGCCTTTAATAGAAAAATTAGATACAAATCGTTAATTTTGTGGTTATAGGAAGAGGAAAAACAAGGATAACTTACATAGGTGCTCGAAGGTGATGTTCCAGAATGGAGAAACAATGCATCAAAGCCTGAAATTTTGGGGCTAGACATTCTCGAATATTTTTGTTTTTCTCTGCACTAACAAGTTGGTTGTCTAATTTCGTGGCTTGTATGCTTACTAGCTAAAGGACGAATTAGCTTGTTTTGCAGTTTTGAACATTAGAATATTCTTGCTTTTACTCATTGGATAATGTAATTTTACAATATAATTGGTGCATGTGGAAAATTGGCAAGTTGAGACTTGAGAAGGCTAAGGAACACTATCTTGTTTGCTTGAAACGTGAGTAGGATGAAGATGTTGAACTTTTCGTCAATTTGCCCACCCAGAATATTAATCCAGCTAAAAACATGCTCTCTTCAGAAAAACCAAAGAAAGACCTCTGCATGGAAAAAGTGCAGCTTCCGATTTTCTTTCCCAAACTAAGAAAGGTAAAACCTTTTATTCTCTATGCTATGCTTACATGCCATCCAAAGATTACCTCATTTTTACTCAATACCTTTTCTCTTTTTCCTAGCTATGGTTAAAGGTAAAATTAACTGCAATTGTGTTGTTTCCTTCATAAAAATATGATTGGCTTGCAAGCTAACATGCTAAATCTACTACCAGAATTGAGATTTTAGAACTGTAATTACACGAGTCACATCTGTGGATGTACTGATTGTTGGAAAGTGAATGAAAAACAGAAACATTTTCAGTTTCATCCGTATGAATCACCCATTATTTCAGAATTTCAGTTTCAGCCATTACTCTTC